TCTGCGCATATCTCAGACTTGTTCACGATTACCTATGACTAAGGATTCCCGAGGGAATACGAAACGTCAGGACAATAAAACTCTTGTTCCAGTGATCGCTTCTTCTTCGGAACTGCTTCCTGGAACTCGGATATTCTCCTCTATTGGATAACTACCTATTTTCTTTCTTCCTTTAAATTCCGGCATATTTTCGAGAGTTCACCTCAAAAACCTTTAAAATAAGATATACATCAAGAGCATTTACCGAATTAAGTGAATTTTTGGACCATATTTAGAAATGCCTCAAAACAGTGAACCACACTGTCAAGCAAAAATAACGCCCGCAACATAAGTTTGATATTTTTCTTCTTAAGATTAATAAAGAAACTTTCTATAATAGATTACCGCTTTAAAAAGCGCTTTAGTTAGATAGTCAGCTAACGAATTGCTGTGAATATTACCTTTGTCCAAGGTAATTTCGAAATGAAAATGGAGATTTTTGACAATTTTTTAAAATTTACCTGAAGGTAAAGGATTCGATTTGACTGGGAGTGAAAAAAACATACTTTCCTCATTGTTGTCATAGTGGATAACCTCCATGCTCTGTCAAAGCTTGAGAATGCAAAAAGTGTGGCCATATCTATAATAAGATAGTTCTATAATTATTATTCTTCTGTTTGTTCCGGTTCTAAATAACGCATAGGTGGAACGTATAGTTTACAAAAAAGTAGACTTGTACATGACTTACATTTAATAAGGCCTGTTTTACCTTACCTTCATGGTAACATGTATGGACATTGTGCTTATGGGCTTAGGCCATGCGGTTAAACAAAATGCGACCAAAACTTTTTTCTTACTGCATTTTGTGGCAGAAAACTTTACATGTTAGCTAAGCATAATTTTTAAAACGGGAATTATTCTTTGTTTCTGAAACTAAATGCGATTCCTTAAACTTGGCCTCACTTGCATCTGAACAATTTCGGACAAAGTTTTCCGGTTCTGAAGGGGATATTTTCTACACATTTTTTACTTATTTTGGAATTTTTCCATGGGATAATGTATGTTAATATAAAGTTTGGTTCTGTCGTACATAATAGCATAGGAAATTCCTTCGATATGAGAATACTCCGAACTTCACCAAAAGTAATACACACTACCCAGAATAAACTTAACTAAAAGGCCTTCCCATGAGCAAATCTACTCAGGAGATAAAAATCACGTGATAAGATATATGTTAAACTATTAAGTCAAATTTCGTCATGATTTTTGCTTGCAGCACTCGTCACGCTGTATTTTATTGAAACATGCATAAAAAAGCACTTTCTAGTACCCACATGGAAACAACTTAGGTCTCCTTTGGATTCTATATTCAACGCAGTGGTATCTTTCAGCTGAAAATTTTTGTCAACGAATACGTTTGTGATCCTTCTAACCAGCAGCGAATGCTTGTA